CACGAGTTCATTTCGCGATTGCCCGAGGTATGTTCTAGTTTTGCTTTTCAAGAGCATTAGCACAGACTGAGCTCTAACTCGCAAACATTCATCTCTGTCATCATTTTTAATTAGCTGGGGTTTCTTTGATGCTTTTTAAGCCAGCATCTTGATAAAAAAAGAAAAATTTTAGATTCTGTCAACTAAGCGGCTCTGTAGCTAATCCGTTTTATTTTTACTGATAGCAAGCCTGTTATTCAGAGGTAATATTTCTGGGGAAGCACTATGGCATCTCTGTAGACAACATCGGACACTCAAATGTTGATTTCGTTAGATCATAGAAACCAGGAAGTAAAAAGCACAACTGTTTGCCTTTTGTCCACAGAACTGGCATATCAGAAGTTGCAAAATCATGGCGTAGACATCGCTGGCTTATCTTAACTAAAACGGGTTCAAGCCGTTAAACTCGTAACTGGCTTGAAGCATGACGATTCATTTGTAAAGTTTAATTGATGGCTCTTAACAACACACCGTCAGTAAGGCTCGTGATGTTTTTATTTAAAATTTTCACAAGGATTACGAAACGAACGTTGGTGCAGGTGGTTCACAGCTCTCAGGTGGGCAAAAGCAACGCATCGCCATTGCCCGTGCCCTCATCAGAAAGCCAAAAATTCTCCTCTTGGATGAAGCGACTTCCGCCTTGGATGTGGACAGCGAGCGAATTGTTCAGAAGACGCTAGATGAAGCTATGCGAGTACCGGAAGGTGGTCGAACTAGTCTAGTTGTCGCCCATCGTCTCACCACGGTCATGAATTGTGACAAGATTGTGGTTATGATGGGTGGTCGGCGTGTCGAGTACGGCTCTCCTCAGGCACTAATGCAAGCAAAGGGTATCTTCTATGAACTCCAAAATGTCGAAGCTGGAAAAGAATGAGCCGACAACACTCAATCCTCTCTTACAATTTAAATTCTGATTTCTGGATAAAACAACACATTTACCAGTTGTACACATTACGCTTTTATACTTCTTCGATGAGTTATTGGTCATTATGCCTTCAAAACTGCGAGAAAATTACCTTCCTATCAATTCATGTTTGATTTTAATATTGAATTTGGGTGCTTTTTGAAAAAAAGACATCAATTATATAAAAGGGTTTGTGCTGTTTACTGTTCTCATAACTTTTATTGAAATAATTTGCATCCTCTAAAACGGCTATTCCTTTTAAGATTACTTTCTAGCGCAGACAAATATGTTTTGCATTGGTTTTAGAGGCAACTGACATTGACCACCGTTGTGCTGTAACTTAATTCAAGTCTTAAGCGTTGTTAAGCTTGCTTGTAGATATGGGAGCAACAATTAATCACGTATTCCTCGGCTGGCAGCAATTGGAAATCATTAGCTAGTAACCCAGCAGTATTGTAAGTGGCATTGCAGATTAGCTTACCTCCTAGAAGTGCATTTGTATTTTTCTTTCAGCCCCTTGTGATTTCACTGAAGGTCTCTTTCAATTCAGCACTCAGATGTCGAAAACATAATGCTGACGGAAAGCTTACAAGCGGATACGGTTTTAACTCAATCTATTACGTCTTACACCCTTAATATCCTTCTGACTTCATTGGAGGCCACCTGCACCAATGGATCACACCGTCTCCTCTGGCACTCTAGAGACTTGATACATCTATCGTGTCGCTCATGGTTTTGGTGCAAGTGCCAGGTACTTCCATCGCTTTGTGGAAAAAATGCAGATTTTAAACTAATAGACACATAACCTGTTCAACGTTAACGGAAGTGGGTAGAGATCTGTTAAGATGTTTTTAGTGTGATCACATTTTGCTAGGTCCTTATGAAAAAAACACTAGTAAATTTGTCGGACGAGAGTGTGCATGCAATCAATAGAACCAACGAAGGGCAAATGCAGGGTAGATTACATTGTGCATGCCATCAGTCTGCGGAATGTCAACGACCAGCAGAGTTTTTGTCGCAAAGAATTATAAAATATACCTGGTGTAGTACAAAACCTGTGTAGCAGCTAAAGCAATTTTAATCGATGAGACCTGATACCTGAAAACAACCCCTACCAAGTAGCTTTCGCTAGGACCTTTACATAATTAAGAACCAGAAAAAGTTTATGTCATGTAAAACAGACAGTATGATTTCATTCATTATACAAAAATAGTTATGGGTTCTATAATTTCGGCAGTAAGTCAAAGAAAATCGAATGTAGATACGTTCGACTGCTAAGATACGGAAAACGTAATTACAAAGTCGTACTATATGTAAGCGACAGAATATCTCGCATCCGTCATTGTCTAAGGCTGTCCGCATATCTTCCTCGCAGGCTATTCATGCGTACAGATACAGAGGATTGGCAAAACTTGGCGTGGTCCAAAATGTCTGCACCCATGTACGTCACTACTGTAGAATAACCGAGCCCTAGTATGGAGAAGACTGGTTCAACAGAACAGACTTTATTGAACAATCACAAGACAGAGCCACACGTCAGGCGCCTTCCATCCGAGTCCACCTGTAGAATACCCGAGCAATAATAAGAAAAAGACCGGTAGAACAGAACAGGCTTAATTGACCAATCGGAAGCCAGAGCCACGCGTCGGGCGCCTTCAATCCGATTCCACCACGATGGCCACTCCGCTCATTATATACTGCATCTCATCCATGTCCTTCTCTGGTTGGCTGCCTTCATTTTCCGCATGCCACTGGATCGCAGAGAGACACGGGATTAGCTGAGGCCAGGTAGCCCAACATGTCTGCGCCCTGATCCGACGCCACACCGCCTCCCCCCAAGGAGTGAAGCGGTCCTCAGCTTCTGGCTTGGTTCCTTGCACTGTTGCTGATATCCAGTGTTGAATAAGAAATATCCAGTTCGACACTT